CTGGCTTCTCATCCCACCAGTCCGCTTCTTTGTGTCATCCAGGGGAGGGGGATTGACCTGGCCCAGTCCAAATGCTGCCAGGAGGATTGGATGATCCTGCTTAGGCAGGGTGTGCTGTGAAGCAAGCTAATGAGAGGCCAATGTGTGTGTGTGTGTGTGTGTTGGCAGGCTTTACTAAGGGGCTCTGGGTTCAGCCACCCAGGGCAATCTGCCCAGTGATGCTGAGACACATGTGACCCCTTCAGACCTACGGCCTGGATTACTGTTACCACCACTGCAACTATTGTGAATGTGTGTGTGCGTGTGTGTGCGTGTTTGTGTGCATGCATGTTTCCAGGGAAGAAAGTTGCTTGTTTCTGCATGCGTTCCAACATTCTGAACTAGCTCAGCCAGCCACACGCTTTTAATCTCCTTCATCCTAATCATCAGCACTTTTAACAATTACCAGAATCCCAAAGTCACTTCTAAAGCCCCAGGGACTGGGGAAGTAAATTAGTTCTTTAGCTAACCCCAGCATATTTACATCACCGCTTTATAGCTGTTATGATGTTGATGAATGTGCACTGCCCCTGCCAAATAAACTTATAATCGAGTGATAAAATAATGAATGAATTCCGAGTGGAACAACAGTCCGTGACGCCTGCCAATTTCCTCACCTCTTCTGTGTGTGTGTGTGTGTGTGTGTGCGCGCACACGCACATCTGCCCTCCAGTGTTTGCCGTCTCATTGCAGCAGTGTGTGTTCAATGCTCGCTTGCACATGTAACAAAAGGAGATACATTCGGACCACACACTCTTTACACACGTGTCCGACGTAGATGGGAGGGGAGGTCGGGCCCCATGAGGCTCATTTGCGTGTATGTGTGCAGGCATGTGTTGAGAGCGCTGCTGCAATAGAGCTGTCTGTTCACATGTCTGTATTTTCACAGTCCAACTGTGTACATGTGTGTCCATCTGCCTGTCTGCCATGCCAGAAGATAGGAGGAACGAAAGAAAGAGATTCCAGCCTCTGGCCGCATTGGCTGCCTTCTCCTTCTCCATCCCCTGGCCTTTCCATTTTGCCACATCAGCTGAAACCTCTTTTCACAGCTCCTGTTGCTCTCAGCTCGTAAACTCACACACACTCCTCTTTTTCACCAAGGGAGAGGGAGGTAAGAAGAGAAAGAGAGTGAGGGGGAAAGGGGGTGAGCCGCTGCCCGTTTGCTTTAAAAGGCAGCTCAAGCAGTATGGTTCATATCCATTCCTTCCCTTGTTTTTACACTCCCTCGCTCCTAAAATAAAAAAATAAAATAAAATAACTACCCAGTGGATATTCTCTAATCATTTAGCCTAAGGATGCGTGTAGGCTTACCAAGCTCCTGCTTACTTATCCACACAGCCCAGAAAAGCCTCGGTGCATGCCTGCATTATTCATGAAGGAGAAACCTACGGGTGGAAAACTGGGTGCGGCGTTTCAAACACAAAAACAATCAATAAACGGGTGTTGGAATGCTGCTCCTTTGATACGACACCCCGTTTGACCTACTAACACTTATTCCACTCTTCCTCTCAGTCCCAGAATGCCCTCGCCAAGAAGATTTCCAGTGATTTTTTCTCTTTTTTTTGGAGTCTTTTCTCTGGTTTTTTGTAGTTGAAACACTTAGCCTAGTTAGCTAGTCTTTTATCCGGCGCCAATTAGCCGGCGATTAATGAATTATTGAGAAACGGGAAGGGGGGGATTAAAATTTAATGTGGATCTTAGGGGGAATAGTTGTATTACAAGTCACCGCGAGCGCCGAGTGAGGAGACGGCCACCCTCAGCAGCCGTTTACAATAATCTACAGCCATTTACTAAAAGTATAGAAAGAGAGAAAAAGAGAAAAAGAGAAAAAGAGGAAGAGAGGAAGTGGGAGCCGAGGGAGGGGTGAAGGAGAGGTTTTGGCCTTATGAACAGACACTGAAATCAAACATGCAAAAGGGCCAAAAACTACAAAACTCCAGATGCTGTGATCAGGGCAGTGACCAAAGCCAACATTCGCTCCACATGAATTCATTTTCTCTCTCCGGGTGTGTGTGTATGTGTGTGTGTCTACCAATGTGACCTACAGTATTTGGTCCCGTGTGTGTGGGTCACCTGCCACCCCAGCACCCAAACTCCTGTGCAGTAATGTAAGATTCGATCTTTCATTAGGGCGGCCATGTAAGGCCAATAATAGGAGATGCTGAGATAAGGATAATGTATGTCTGAGGGGGAAGCTCTTCTCAAGGTGATCGTTCTGGTTCAGTTCTCTCTTCCTCAAGCAAAACCTGTATTGGCACTTGAGACTTAACTGGTATTGATTTACTTAGGGTTAGGACTGTGTCTACCCCCCCCCCACTCTGCTCTCTCTACCACCCCTTCTGTTTCTCAGTCACCTCCTGGCACCTGTCTCTGTTTCTATTCCTCACTGCACACCTCTGTCTCTCTTCTTTCTGCCGGTGCCGGAGTAATTTAAACTGATGGAGCAGTCAATAAAAGGGTGGATGCAGAACTTGATGGTTGTAAGCATTCTGATACAATATTTTAGCTCAGCCTGATCATTTTGTTTATTTTTATTGCAGGAATTAATCAGGTAGTAAGGTCTGAGAAATGTGTATCCGTCCATGGGAGCCTCCTTTTCCACTTCACCTCTGTCACTCCTAACACATCTTTGAGTACGTCAGTGGCTGCTGTGGCGCTATAATTAGTCGCTGGATGTGACACATGTTTCCAATTTGCTACGTCTGGTCACTGCACTGGAGGGGGGTGGAGTGACGGAGCGAGGTAAAGATAGAGACAGACGAAAAGTGACAGGAGGAAAAGAAAAGGACGGGGACGGTGGAGGCAGGCAAGCCAGAAAGTGGGCATGAAATAGCAAGAGAGGAAGAAAAATATAAGAAAGAGGGTCAAAAGGTGTGAAAGAGAGAAGAGAAAGAGAGGGGGAGGAAGAGAAGGAGCTGGAGATTGCTCACAGAGGCGGAAAGAAAGATGGGAGGAGACGTGGAGGGAAGCTGCAGGTGGACGGTCTAAACTTCAAAGCAGTGTATCCAGCAGGGGTCTAGAGGTTAACAATGTGACAGGCCATTTGCTACACAGACAAGATGTGAACCATACATGCGCTCCTGCACCTGATTGATACAGACTACTGCTTCTGCTTACTTTTCGCCTCATTTCAGAAGTACAAACCATATGTGTGTGGGCTCGGGATTTTGTCCTTGGAAGATGTGCACTACTCGGGCAGCACGGGCTCTTAACATATTTCAGCCCACGGCCAAAACCTATTTTGCCCTGAGGCAGCTCAAACTAAAGAACTGCTCTTGTCATGTAGAGACAGAGGAGACACAAGTACATGGGAAGTGTGAAAAACAGCCAAGAAAATAAACTGGAGGAATGACTAAGCTGATTAACTATGAATAGTAAGCTTCATGAATAAGCTTCATAGTGTACAATAGGCTTTGTATTTTGAATATATGAGTGAGCAAATCTGTGGAAATGAATATGGAGTCTGGCGTCAAAGCTGCCACCCCTTCTAATTGCCAGGCCCATTCACTAAACCCTGACACCCACCTAACACTAAACTCCATTAGCAGACAATGGCGTGGAATCACCTGTAAGGCCTCAAAAGCCCGGGCTGTTAGCTTCTCAGTGAAAATTACCCTCCCGTGTCCAACTCTACTCCCTGTTGGGTGAATCCACCCACTGCTGACAAAGAGCCCTCATTAAGGGCTTCATGCCTGGCTCCACAGCGGGGCCCACGCACAGTCACATCTGTGGAAAGGCGAGAAACCGGGCAGGCCATAGCCTACAGCACATGGACACATTAAAAACCTGTTAGTCTCTGAAAAAGCCCCTGGCATGGGTGTGAGCTGGGGATGGCAAGATTTGGGCTGCCAAAAGTAAGCCTGTAAGTGAGTCTAAATTTGCTTTTGTGTTTCTTTGTATTATAAAGTGTTTGTAAAGCAAATTTACAAAAAATGGGAGCTACTCAAGACCAGTGTTCCCTTCAAGCTGATAATTTGTTGGCCTACACACACCATTTCTTAAGCAGAAAAGTATCATTGTTCCAGTTTTCCCCAAAATGTAGTTACAATTTGCAGAATTGAAGCCTGGTGTCACCTCCATACAAGCCGCCTTGTTATCCGCCAGCCTCCCCACCACCACCGGGCGTCTATTCAGACACTGGGAAATTGGCAGAGGTGTGAGAAAAGTGTTGTCGGTCGTTAAGGCCGGACGGCCGAGAGGTGTTTAAAATGACATTTCCTCAGCTAATGCCTGACACCTTCACCAGAGGAAAGAAAAAAAATGCAAATGAGTATGGCCGAGTGGGTTTGAGAGGCCTGCGGGATCGGGGCCTAGACTTTAATCAAGGTCATCCAGCGACAGCAATTAGAGCGCCACACACGTCCTTATTATCCTACACACAGCTCCCATCTTTTCGAGCTTACAGGGACTTTAGCAGTAAGAACTAACAGCTGGATTATCCACAAAAAAGCAACGTGAGTGTGACAAATTCCAAACAGCTGTGAAACAGAGCAGCCTGTGTCAACACTAAGTGTATACATTTATTAAATTGCACTGTTTACATTGAAGCCCTGTTAGACTGCAAACAAGCACGATGGCATTGTATTGTTTTGGGGAGAAAGTGCAACAAATTGGCAGAATAGAAATTTAAAAAAATGAACAGGCTACTCTGTGTCTGTGGGAGGCCTGTGGCTCATCTGTAGCGAAATAGGGCCCTTCTCGAACTTTATGGTGTTTTGCATGTCATGTTGCATTACTACATGGCACTTAGTAGTGCACTAAGATTTAATTCCATTACATTCATTAAATATTGCCTAAATCCCCTCATCTTAGAAGAAGTTGCATGTCATGAACATGCAATTAAACTCATTATTCGATCGGGGGGGTTTTTTTTATATATATATCTAGCGTGGGCTTGAAACTTCAAGTTCAAACCTGCACTGAAGCGACGGTTAAGGTCTGCAAGTGAGAGCTGCTCTTACCTTTCGTTCAGGGAATTCCAGTAGATGGGCTCCATATTGCTGGCCGTCGTCCCCAGTAAATCCAGTAAGAATACCAGCAGGAGCCCCAATCCATTCCCACTTCCTCGACACGCCATTTCTACCCTGACACCCAGCATATGTAGCCCCATTTAGAAGAAATGGACAATATTTTCTGTGTGAATGCTGCTGCACGGAGACTCAAAACAATGGATGTGCGACTACAGCCGATCAGGCTATAGGTAGAGGCAGTCAAAGTGTGAAGTGAAAGCCTGCTGTATACAACCTCATGGATCCACAATTCGTCAAATTGTACTGGATCAAACCAAAGCCAGACTCTGAAATGTGTAGGAGAAACTTGTTCAATCCGTGCGTCCGGATCTCCAAAAACTACTGGTTTTCTGCGCGTCCACGGTCGTACTATTTCAGTGCCAATCCCATGACTTCCCAATTAATGTGTCATTAGTCCTCCTTTTTCCAAAGCAGTGCTCCTCAGTTCAAATATAACTCCACCGAATCGAATTTTGTGAAAAATGTATCGCCACCCAAGAGCTATTTCTGTTGCCTTTCGGTGCGCCCTAATTGTCTTTTTCCGAACAATGTTCCCTTGTTCTCTGAACAGACTCTGTGTGATTTCTCTCCCATTACCTTGTTTTCTCGCAAGAACATCTACCTTCCAACATACCAGGCTGAACTGTAAAGAAATACTGTCAGTCTGTTAGAAGGAAACAGTCGAAGTCAGGCCAAAACTGTGGAGATAAAGCGTTTAAAATGGAAAAGATATCACTGGTGTCCGCGGCTCCATCCTCATACAGACATGTTGATGCTCGGTGGGCTTAGTCAGTGCGCATTACAATCCTTATTCTCCTCTTTGTAAAATACACAGGTTGCACGCGGGTTGTAAATCCGCAAATCCTTCATCAGCGGATTCGTTGAAAATGAAAAAACAAACTAGGATCCAAATCGAGTCCAAGAATCAATCAAAGCAACAACACAAGAAAACTGAGAGAAACAAACCAAAGAGCTAGAAAAGCATCCGCACTCTAATAACGTCGCACAAAGGCCAACGTGAAAGTTGTGAAGTGAATTTAAAAAATAAGATGCGAGCTGTGAGCATCAGTCCTTGCTGGAAATAGACGCCTATCTGATGCAGCGCATCATTTGGAGAGCGGGACGCGTCGCTTCTCGGCCAGAGGAAAGCGCTTCATTCGTTATCGCATCGTCTCTCTGCCTCAAAATCCCACTGGTTTGACTTGCCCTAATGCACGCAGCACATTGACAGACCGACTGGCTTGTTCGAGAGAAGGAGGAGGGAAAGGGGGACGTGAATCAATGGGGAAAAAATCCCCATCCTCCGACTGGCAGGCAGGGCGCACTGGCGGAGCGCAATTCTTCCAGGCTTTCGGGGAGGGGGGGGCGGTATCGAGTCCGGTTCAGCACCTCCTCTTTCCTCCTCCTCTCTGAGTTTTAGGGGGCCCCCGACTCGGACCTCTGGACTCCCTGGCGCTCTATTCTGCCTCCTTTCAAACGCTGAAGAAGAAACCCCCCCTAAACACGCACACACCTTTCTAGACGCTCAGCAACGTGCACACTCCTATGGTCAACTCTGTGATGGAAGAGCAAGAGCGCCCTCCCTGCGTTTAGTTGGCATCACATGATGTGGCCCTGGAAGAGGATTGTACTGAAAACAGTCCAGCTGGAATTTTAGAAGGATATTACAAATACAAGTCCCTGTAGGAGTATTTAAGGTTATTCGAGATTAAATATGCCCCATTATAGATGTATTAAAGGAATATTACACAATAGTTGAAGATAACTATAATAATACAGTCACACTATGAGGAACTTGCATATTTTTGTACTATTGCTAACCATATAAGAAAAAAAAAATCCTTCCTTTAAAAAGAATGATGTCACTTATGATCATCGGACAGGATTCACCTCACAAGTCTGTAGCCCAGTCTAAACAAAAAAGAATCCCCTCTCTCTGTGTGGTAGGACGTGGCCCTCTCTCTCTCTCTCTGTGTCATCCCGTTGACAGAGTAGGGATAGAGTCCCAGCATCCAGCACCAGCACTTCAAAGTGGGCCGTTCAACTTGATGAGGTACAGGACGAGCCGGGCGACAGGCCCCGCCGAGGGCCACACACACCAGTGTTTACACTGAGGCCCCTGTCTCCAAGAACACTGACAGTGATTACACTATTGCGCGCACGCACACACACACACAGAAACATGTAGCCTATGAGATGGGGTATAGATGACTGTCAAAACTGTGACTGGACTGCCCTCATGTGGTAGATACAGTGCATGAACCTGAATGCACCATGTCAGGGTGATGGTGCAGCCTGCCAGGCCACTACAAAAAAACAAACCCAAACAATTTTACTATCATATCCTCCAATGTTAGAGTTTTACTACCTATCCATCCTACACTCTCTCTAATCTTATCGTTTTCCAGAGCTGCACCTGAGAAACAGGTGTGTTATCCTAGGCTTTTCACACGCTAATCTGTTGAAACCTACTGCAGCTAAGACACAAACATAAGATCTATGTTTGTGTCTTAGCTGCAGTAGGAAGGAACACTTCACATGGAGTTCAGTTATCTCGTGAAGTACTACAAAATCTGTAAAAAAAAAACAAACAGGAAGATAACTTTCCAAATAATAAAACCCAAACAACTGATGATGTCACAGCGATGTCATCAGGGTTATCTTGGTTTGGGCTTGAGACATGAAACTTTTAACAGTGAGTCTGTTATATAAAGTGGAGGTGTGGGATTTAAAGGTAGGCATTAAGGGACCTACTGAATAGCATTATGGGAAATGTAGGATGCAATGTTTTTGGAGTTTGACCAATGCAAGACATAAAAAAAAATCTGGATATCTCAGCCTCTGCTGCTCCAATTTTTGACCATTCCTTTTTATTTAATCTGTACTTGTGAGCCCCCATAATTTATGGAAGTGGAATGCTAAATCTTTGGAGTACCCTTTTAAAAACATGAGGTGCATTCGGGCTTCTCCTTTTCTTCATTAACTACACAATCTAATAAAAGTACTAATTTATGTGAATCACTAACATTAACTGACAAAAAAACATGATTTTTCTGCCATTTTAAGACGGTAAAACCTTTTTTTCAGACTTTGTAATTGTACTGTCTAAATGTGAATAGTGCACATGACATTTACAACTAGGAGATTCATCCTGTGCAGAAGCTTTGGACGCAGCCCAGCAGGGACGGAGGAACAAATATGATAAGAAAGTCGGGTCTACAAGCAGAACTGAGGCTGGCAAGGCTTCTCTGTTTTACTCAAAGGCACTTCAGTGGAGCAGAGCTTACAGGGGCTCAAACCTGGGTCTGCAGGCTGAAGGACAATCTGCAAGTGAGACAAAAGTGCAGACAATTCTTCTGCAAAGCAAAATTACAGCATGCTTTCAATAAGAACTGTAATTGCAGGTTATGAGCTCCAAGCAAGAAACAAATACAGCGGGGAGACTTTACAGAGCTGGTCAGAGAGACGGGAAGTAAAAGAGAGCAGAGATGGAGCTGTTTCTGTTGCACTGACCTTTGGAAACCTTGGCAGGCCAGATGACAGAGCTAAATGTAGTGGAGGAAGACAGACTGGTTCAGAGACAACAGTAGTTCAGAGGTGGAGCTGGCATGAAAAACAAACCTTCTGCTCCGTCTGGGAAATCTGTGTGTGGGAAAACTGGCTGGTTTGTGGCCATCGCTCGCTCGCGTTTGTGTGCGTGTCGAAGATGACTCAGTTTTTAAAACTGCAGAGCTATAAGATACCACCTACATCAGATCTGTCATAGTGCTGAATAACCGAATGTACTTTCTGGAGTGATATGTGAGCGGAAAGAAGGAGTTTGAAGATGTTTTTGTATGCTTAATATACACTCATGGATGGTATGTCTGTATTTATTACTGTTTATTTATTCATGCTGACCTCATTTACTGCACCGACCTTCAACTCTTCTTCAAAACCACATCCTCTCCCTGGTGACTCTGGCTGCAGTCTGCTCCAGCTGCCAGACAGAACACACACAAACACACATGCAACAAATACACACAGGCTTACACAAAATCAAGCACGGGCATCACTTTGACACAGCATGTATAGCTGCAAACACCAGCAATTACAGTGCGTGGTTAAGGGTTAACACTATGCATGTAGTGGTAAGGGTTAAGGTTAGGGATAGACACATGCACAAACACAAAAACCGACACAGACAACCATGGTGGTGGCAATACAAAGACCTCAGACAGGAAAACATGCACCCTGATGGGAATGAAATTCACACCGAGAGTGGTACAAAAATGTGTGTGTGCGTGCGTGCGGATGTGGGTCGGTGTCAGAGCATGGCATCCTTGCCTGCCTTGCAGTTGATAGATCTCAGATGCACATCTTTATCCTTCAGCATCTGTCTGTCCCTGTGGGCTTCCTCCTCCTCACTCACACACACACGCACTGCTGCAGCAGCAAACACTCCTCTGCTGCCAACACACACCCTTGTTTATTCCTGTGACAGAGAGACACAGGTGGGGGGGGGGGATTAAATGAGGAGAGGTGAGGGGTTGTGCAACCTGTGATGTGCAGATCACACATATGGATCGTGTGGAGTGATTTGCTGATTCTGCCTCAGTAAACAGTTTGACAGTTGATCTCCCTCACACACCTACCCACATTTGCAGCCTTAAGCAGTCTGTATGCATTTGAGCTTCTTTAGCTATACTCATGAGGATTTTCCATCAACAATCAAACCTCTGATGCCAGTCCGACTCCTAACTGACCCAAATGTAGTTATAATTCTACCCTTAAACGCAAATCTTAGCCTGAAAATAAGCTAGACGATAAACTTGAAGGTGCAAGTGAATGTGTTTCTATAGTCATTGGCCAGATATAGTCTATGTGCAGGAAGTGACTTTAACTCTTCATACCCACCTTCCTTCAGCTACTAAGGAAAAAGTGCGAGTGCGGCTCGGTTTAGTAACATCATGACTCATGATAGGTCCTAACTGTAACGCTTACACTAACCCAAATATACTGCTGAGCTGTGTCCTCATTCCACACTACATATTATTTCTAAACAGATTTTGAGTGTGTTGTGTGTTGGCAGAAAAGTGACAAAATTAAGTATACTTAAAGACAAGCATAAAATGTGCTTGATTTTTGAGTGAGCCGTCGTGTCACTATTCTGCCACAATGCAATGCACAGAAATTGAGATGCTTCTCACAGTTGGAGGAAATTAAACAAACTGTTGATTTTGACAAAACACCACACACAAAAAAAGTGTTAAATATTTGGATTAAAAGTTTGCTTTCTCTTTCTCAGTTTAACTGAAAATGGCACTCCATAATTGCAGTTTCACTGACATCCGTCAGTGCAAGTCTTGTGCTTTTCTTGCATCTGTCTTTTTTTTGTGAACAAATTTTCATTAGTTTCATGTTGACAGAAAAAATGCATACATACATATACAGATATACACACTCACTCTTTCACTGAGCTCAGCTCAGAAACTGAACTGTACTTAGTTATTAAGTGTAAATTAGTTTAATTAATTTGGCTTAAATTATTTCATGGCATATTATTATTTTATTTTCACACATGCAAAACCTGCATGTGTGCAAATAAAATACAAACATACATACCCTAACATAAATTGGCTTGTATACACAAGCAAATACCCCTGCGACCCTGTAGGCAGGATAAGCAGTTGATGATGGATGGATGGATTGACACAAGCAAATACACAGGTGCGCCTGCATATACATGCACAATGACCTAAATCCATATACTTAGATGCATCCTTACGTACACCCATACTTACACAAGCACCCACACACATCCAAATGCTACCTATTTAACAGTTTAGTGCCTATATTAAATCCCCTCATACCCTCCCTATTGTTGTATATTTCTTGACTGGGAATGGATTACATTCATCCTTGAACAAACACGTGTTACAATCTGCTCCCCACGCGTTCCACACTAAGGTCACGAAATAACTTACTGAACTATCTCTTTGACAACTGAGCAACTCAATCCAATGGCCATAGAATGTGGCTGAAAGCTTCGGCCACAGCAAGTAAGTGGACCTTGCAGTAAGAGTTAATTTGGAAGAAAGTCTTGTATAGAAATAAATACTGTTAAGTATGTTGGTTTCCTGTTTGTAAAAAGGGAACTTTAATTTAAAGTACATTTGACATATCAGTGGATCCTGTCCTTTTGGGCTGGCAACCCTCTTAGAAGTGTCTGCTTGCAACCCCTTACAGGTTGAATACAGAGTATTTGTCAGTTGTGAGCACTTAATCCAGAGTGATTTTCTCCTCTAAACCTCTCAGTTTCATCTCAGTAATTGTCTGAGGTCTAAAGAGATTTTAAAAATACTATCGTATTTCACAAGAAAGCAATGATTACAGTCATTAAAGTCAGAAAAAACAAAAAAACTAACTCTAAATTGAATTAGCAGAACATCATTTTTCTGTTCTCTCTAGTCATCTGA